TCTCCATTTGTACAGCTCTGAAGACCGCAGGCATTACACCAGGGATCCACCACACCCAGGTCAAACTAGCAGAAGCCACAGATGCAGCCCAATGGGATGTCTCCAGACCAGGGACTCATTAAAACTAAGGCTTCATCGGGCCCCAGACCCTTCTGCTATCTGCCCCTTTACCTCTTCCTGAGTCTTATGTTTGGTATAAATTGGTCATGGTCCAACTCCCACTGTCCTCAGGCCTGGAATTAGGAACTGCAAGAGACAGATTTTGGCCTTTGGAAAATAGGCAAAATCTGGGGAATCAGACTCTATGCCACAGGAAGGGACCCTGGGGACAGCTAATCACTCTCATTCTGAAATCAGCAAGGACTGCCAGTTATGCTTAGACACCACCACCCCAGCTGCCATACTACATAGGGACAGAACTAACAGGCCTGTCAGCCCACTGACTACAAAACTGTGACTGGGGCCACCCTAAATTAACATTAGAGGATTTACAAGGGGCTGAAGCCTGTCTAATATCCAAAACCTTTCAGCTAGGTACTTCCCCTTCTTCTGACACCTGCTATTCTAACTTAAGGGTTAATTCTTCGGAATGACAGCGATATTACTGAGCCCCTGATACTACTTAGTGGCCATGTGCTAATGGCTTGTTAAACATGCTCTTCTGATACTTTTCAAACTAAATAGACAAGTTGATCAGGACCTAAGTAGTAAAAGTTTCCATTTCTTAATTAAAGCTCATTAGATTCCTCGTAGAAGCAGTCCTACAAAGTTGGAGAGGCTTAGACATACTTCTCATGAGATAAAGGAGACTATGTATGACCTTGGGAGGATCCTGTTGCTTCGATGCTAATTGATTAGAAGTAATTGAGAGAAAAATCTTGCCATGGTTGGGGAAAACCTTAAAAAGCAAAAGAGGCAAAGACATAAATCAAGGAATTAATACCAGTCTGTTCTCTTGATCCCCCTGGCTAACTGCTCTACTATCAGCACTAACTGGGCATTTAATTCTCATTCTGATTCGATTAACACTAGGGCCCTGCATCTTAAACTATATGACCAATTATGTATCAGTAAAATTAATGGTCCTTAGGACCAACTACATGTCTTTAGAGCAGAATGAGCCATGATTTGACTCATTCACTAAGACCAGTGGGGAATGTAACACAGCCCTAGCACAACTGATGCCATGATAGAAGAATCATTCAGACTGTGAAATTCAGCATGTAGATAGCGCCACCTACCAAAATGAAAACAAAGACCTTTTGGGAAAGACTCTAAATGTACTAACCTTGCTTTTTGGTTCTGTAGTTCTGTTTCAGGCTAACTGTTCTTGTTAACTGAAGTGTATCAACCCAGAATATTTTTTGTACTTACACAACACCCACAGCTAAACACTGAACTGAACCCCTGGAAACCAGTGACAGAGAGGGAGGAGTGATGAGCAAAGGGGAAAAGAATGGACTGGCGAAACCAACAGAAACAACTGACCTGAACAAGGGGGAGATCTTGGATCCCAGACTGATGGCTGAGAGGCCAGCATGGGGCTGATCCAGACCCCCTGAATGTGAGGGTCAGTGAGGAGGCCTGGGATACCTATGGGGCCCTGGGCAGTGGATCAGTGTTTATCCCTGTCATACAAATGGACTTTGGGTGCCCATCCCACAATGAGGAATACACTCTCAGTCTATACTCTTGGGGGAGGGCCTAGGCCCTGCCCTGAGTGAAATGACAGACTCTATAAATGCCCTATGGGGAAGGAAGTGGGGTTAGGGTGGGAGGCTGGGGGGGGTTGTGAGAGGAGGGGAGGGAGAGAGAGCTGGGATTGGCATGTGAAGCAAGCTTGTTTCTAATTTTAAAAATGTAATAAAAAAGCTCACCCTAAGAAGCCTTTCTATGGTCAGGCGGTGGTGGCGCTCGCCTTTAATCCCAGCACTCCGGAGGCAGAGGCAGGCGGATCTCTGTGAGTTCGAGGCCGGGCTGGACCAATAGCCTCCGAAACAATACAGAGAAACCCTGTCTTGTAAAAACCAAAAAAAAAAAAAACCGAAGCCTTTCTGTGAAGATTTTCTATGGGCTTAAACCTCTATCTGAGTGGTCTTCTCTGGTAGATACCCCACAACACACTCAGGGCTCAGGGAACCCTGTGGAAGAGGAGACAGAAAGAGTGGAAGAGCCAGAAGGGATGGAGGACACCAAGAAAACAAGGCCCTCTCCATCAACAGGAGCAAAGCTCATATGAGCTCGCAGAGACTGAGCACGCACAGGACGCACCGGTACCAGGTCATCTGTGTATGTGTTATGGCTCCCAGTTTAGCATTTTTATGAGATTCCTGAGTGTGCAAAAAGTGGGTCTTTGTTTCTTGTGCTTTCTCTTGAACTCCTTTCCTTTTATTTTTGTCCAGTTCCAATGTGGTTTTTGTTATATCTTAATTATATTTCATTTTATTATTTTCCCTTAAATGATTGTTTTAGAATGAGAGACAGAAAGGGAATGGCTATAGATGGGAGGGAGGAGGGTAGGAATTGGAAGGAGTAGAGGGAGCAGAAATTGTAATCAGGATATATTATGTGAGAAAAAAACTATTTTCAATAAAAGGGAAAATTTTTTAAAGAGCCCTAGACTATATAACAAAAATCCCAGTATCAGGCTTGAGAAGTCTCTGTTCCAGTTGTTGTCAGAGGAGTCCAAGCAACTCCCCCAAACAATATAGGCTATTGCTGTGGCCCTTGGTTGCCTCCCTGAAGTTGAAAGTCAGTCTCTATTGTTGGAGGCACCACCCACTTTGGACACAGCACTCAGGAGGATTTGAGCTAGGTCTGACCTGAAAGCCGCCTCCCTGAAGACTAGCTTTAATAGCACCAAAAGGTGTTAGCAAGCTGCCAAGGGTGGGCGCAATCAATAATCCTATGCAGCTGTGACACCTACAATTCACAACAAAGTCCTGGACAGCAAGTTATCCCTAAAGGTTCAATAGTAGCACTTACATATTGGTAGTAACCAACAGCTGTTTAATTAGACTTAGGCCCATTCAACACGAGGGAAATCATGCCTGGTACTATATAATCCTAGGCAGCCATCCATGGCTAATGAGGTCATGGATCTTAAAGAACCTACTATTAGCATTTTCCTAAACCAGTGTAATTCCTAGTTGTGTTCTAAATACTTCATACACATGAGTGTAGCTCTCACCCCTCATCAAAGAAGCTTCTTTTCACAGCAGAGATAATTACACAAAGAAGGAACTTGTCAAAATGAGAACTACTGTCCATAGGGTACCCAGCCCCAATTGAGACATCTACAGCACACCCCCTACACCTAAGGCTCAGAGCATTGCAGAGGAAGGGGTAGAAAGATTCTAAGCCAGAGGACTAGAAAATCTGCTGCAAGACAACTACATCTTCTAGATGACAGGGAAGCCGCACTCATGAAATCTCGGCAATATGACTGCTCAAAGCACACCTGAATGACGGCATCAGTTGACTTGCCAATGTGAAGAGCTATGGGCAATTAAAGACTGATGAGAGAAAATTAGTCTCCCCCAAGGATGAGTCCTGTAAATGTTTATCCAAACCCACATGGTCAGCCCAAAAACCTAAACATACAAGCCAACCCTAAACAAACTCAACAGGTGGCATTTATATAATTATTCACATATTTATATGTAACAGTAATACATAAAGAATAAGAGGCTGTGAATTTGAGTGGGCATGGAAGGTCATGGAGGGGAGAATGGAACAGGGGAAAGGATATAATTATATTTTCAATCTTAAAACTTTTTTTGGTTTATTGAGACAAGGATTCTGTGTAGCTTTGTAGATCAGGCTGGCCTTGAACTCACAGAGATCTGCCTGCCTCTGCTTCCTGGGTGCTGGAATTAGAGGCGTGTGCCACCATCACCCAGATTCTTAAAACTTTTTTAAAGAACAAAGCAAAGCAGGAACTGCTAATCAGACTAGATAGACAATGGACATAACAACTTCCCATTTTAGCAGAGTGGTGACTTTAAGAAGTAAACTAACTGCAAAAGGAAGTCTAGTATGTTTGGAACCCCAAAAAGCTTAATGATTAGCCAAACAGTAAGAAAGAACCAAATGCCCATCCATGAACAAAAACCATGTATCTCTTCATTATTATGCAGCCATGAAAAGTACTACCAACAGCTACAATATCAGCTTTGAAAACACACTAGTTTAAAGAAGACAATAAAGGGCCACTCCTGTATTTCACTTAAACAAAACACTCAGAACAGATGTTATATTTAATCTTCATCGTCAACCTGGGAGACATACCTTTGGGTGTGTCTGTGAAAATTCCAGAGAGGTTTGAAAGGGAGGGCCCACCCTGAATGTGGGCAGCACACACCATGGGCTAGAATCCTGAACTGGATAAAAAGGAAAGGGAGAAAGTGAACTGAGCATCAACACCATCTCTCTCTGCTTCCTAAGTACACAATATGACCATGTAGATACAACTCAGGATCCCGCTACAGGTCTTCCTCACCACGATGGACAGTATCCCCTCAAACTGTAAGATGAAATAAGGGTTGGAAAAAGGGCTCAGTGGGTAACATACCTGCTGAACGAACATGGAAGACCTGAGTTTGGATTCCCAGCATCTAAATACCTGCTACTCTAGTGCTGGGTGAGGAAAAGAGGCAAGCAGACCCCAAGGATATGCCAGTCAGACCAGCTGGTCTAACCTGAGCATCTGTCTCTGTGCAGTAAGAGATCCTGTCTCAAAAGAAAGGAGAGTGGCAGACACTCAACAGTTGATCAGTAGCCTCCACAAGCATACAGACACAAGAAAACAAACCCTTCCTTAAGCTGCTTTCATCAGACATTTTGAAATTTTGTCATGGAAATGAGAAAATTAGCAAATAGGTGAATCCATAGAAACAAAAGCCTATTTATGGTTGACAGGGAAAATAAAGGTATAAAAGATTTAGAATTACATGATAAATGGTTTTAGTCCAACACTGAATGGACCAAATGCCACTGAATTGCTTATAACAATTTATTTTATTTTATACGAATCTCATCTCAATACAAATAAATAAGTACAAAGAAAAATACATAGAGATGTATGTAACCATCAAGGACCAAAAAAAAGGGGGGGGGACTGGGATATAGCTGAGTAATCGAACACTTCTCTAGCATGTGCAAGGACCTGGGTTCCATCTTTGGCATAACAAAACAAAACAGAAAAGAAATTTAAAGGGGAGAGAACTGGCTGGTCTTAAAAAAATCCTATCATGCTAGGTTGTGGTAGTGCAGGCCTTTAATCCCAGCACTTGGGAGGCAGAGGCAGAGGGATCTGGTCTACAGATCGAGTGCCAGGACAGGCTCCAAAGCTACACAGAGAAACCCTGTCTTGAAAAAATCCCATCATATCCATATTACACTCTCCAAATCTCATGAGCTACAGCTTTCTAGAGTTGTACCTGCCATCTGGTAAGGTCCTACGTAGCTGAACTCTAAAGATCTAACATGAAGACTAGAACCATCAATGCCTTGTGTTTGCCTTTCCCAGTAGTCTCAAATCAGAGGCCTATAGGTTTAAGGGCCAAATCTATGAACCAAATTTTAGGCACATACTCTGGTCAGTACCAACTATTTACCCATGGACAGTGGATCATGTTTGTTTTTTTAAATCTAAGATATCTGGCTGTTGAAACAGTAGCCTTATAAACAACTCTGTCATGTAAGGGACTGAAAGAATTCAGCCCCAAAACTTTATATAGAAATAACAAAAACAAAGAGAATTTGATATTTATGCAACAAAATGCATTTTCAAAGAACTAGTCAGCTGGCACAGACTTCAATAATGTCTACGATCACTGACGTGGTGGGACTCCCGCTCCCGGGACTGCCTATGATTTTTATGCCTATAGGACTTATCCCGACTCCTACTTCTATGACTCCTACTCCTACTTCTATGACTCCGCCCTTCAGAATGCCCACCATGCCTGCTGGAATGAGTACCTGAGCTCCTCCCTCTATCCTTATCTCTGCTCTTTTCTTCTCCCTCCCTCCTGCTCGAGGACTTATGCTCATGCTTGGGTTTCTCTGTCTTTGGCTCCCACTCGGGGTCCTCTGCTCTACCATGGGAGGAACTCCTGATATCAGGGGAGCCTGGGTGGTTCTTCCTCCCTTCTCTGGGTTCTGACTTCTGGGCTTTCTCTGAGGTCTTGCTGCTGTGCTTCTTTGGGCCATGGTCATCCTTTTCCTTTACTGTCTTGCTTCCAGAGGACACAGAGCTGAATGGCGGCTCTGCTTGAACCTTGTGCTCCGTCTTCTCTTTTTCTTTCTTTTTTTTCTTTTTCTCCTTTTTGTCTGTGGGGAAGCAATCAATAAGAAAAAGAAAACACAAATAAATCTCTTTAAAATGTGCCTTTCTTCTCTCAATAAATCATTTAAAACAGAGACATTCCAAAATGTTCCCATGCTAGCAGATGGAGAATGCATTTGTGAAAAACATCCCAGGTAGCAACATGAAGCAGTTACAGATTGTGCCTCCTGGAAAATGTTTTCAAGAATCAAATTGCACACCTGTCACTCCTGATAGGTCATGCTGTACAAGACAACACCACACAGAAGCACTGTTGTAGGAGGAAAACAATTAACCATGTGACTTACTAGAGGCGCGTACAGATGAGGTAATAAAAGAGTGGTTTACCACACTGCTAACCACACCCACTTTAGGCATGACTAAAGACGTATACGGACGGACGTAAAGACGTATACGTACATAGGCAGTGAACTACGTCACTAGCCAGGCCGACTTTTGGGCATGGCTAGGGGGCATTACAGGGGAAGGTATAAAAGACTGAACAACGGCCAGGCGTTGGTGGCGCACGCCTTTAATCCCAGCACTCGGGAGGCAGAGACAGGCAGATCACTGTGAGTTCGAGACCAGCCTGGTCTACAGAGTGAGTTCCAGGACAGGCTCCAAAACAACACAGAGAAACCCTGTCTCGAAAAACCAAAAAAAAAAAAAAAAAAAAAAAGACTGAACAACGGAAGTCTTAGTCACTTTTTCGGGCTTTCGGCTTCCAGTTCGGGGGCAGAAAACTACTCGGCTCATCTGGGTTACTTGTTTGGTATCTTGTGAGTAATTTTTACAACAAATACTTAGTATTACTTTCAGTAAGTGTGCCGTTTATCGTTACAGCATCACACTGTGTCTCCAAACACAATCTCATTTTGAGATAAAGGGTTGGGATGACAGCATATCTATCAACTTTGGGAGACACAACACTGCCCACACCACTAGCCTTCCTTCCTCAGACACTTCTGCTTTCCCAAATAAAATAAGGGTTCTCACACCTTCCCATTTTCCACTTAAGAGTGAATTCTTGACTATCTAAGCATGCTTGGAAAAGAAGACACTAAGAAACCAAGAATTTTCTACTTAGTTTTAACACGCCACCTTTTTTGTGCTTTTTTGTGTGCTTGACATCTTCATCTTCAGACTCCTCAGGAGAACTTGACGGAGGTGTATTAGCCCCACAGCCCTTCGCCTGGAGCTCTCTGGTCACTTCATCCACATCTTCTGATTCCTGAGGAGCCCGGTAGTTTGACACATGATCCACACGGATAGTTCTTCCTTTGATCTAAGCAAGACCACAAATGCGTCAGCAAAGATAGCCCCCACATCCAACTATCTGAACTAAACTACAGTAAAACCAAGGTTTGAATCACATGCATGAAGAAAACATGTTCAATTGGTATGTTATAGCATATATAGCTAATACTAATAATACACACTACTCAGGGCAGCTGAATGAGGTCTGGGGCAAGTGAGACCTCTGGGGCAATTATGCCCAGAGCCCCCTTGATTTACTACATGTACTATGCAAATTTCTTTATGTTCTGCATGTGTCATGAAGTTTAAAAAAAACACTCAGAAGTATTGCCCTAAAGCACAATATCAAGAAAGTCTATGAGAATTTAGAATTTAAAGGACAATTGATTATCTATAGGGATAGAGAACTGGTGCAGTTGGTAAAGCACCTGCCTTGTAAGTCTAAGACTAAGAATAATCTGGGTATGATAGCACACACTTGTAAGTCCAGCATTGGGAAGCAGAGACACAAGACTGCTGGAGCTCACAGGCCAAGCAACCTAGCCTACTTGACAAGTTCCAGACAAGTGAGAGATCTTGTCTCAAAAAAAGAAGTAAAAGTACACACATCTTGAGGAATGATGCCAAAGCTGTTCTCTGGCCTCCAAGTATACATGCACACACATGAATATGTGCACATACATACAAAGTTATACACAACGTTTAACAAGAAAACAACATGCCCTAGAAAAGCATGAGGGCCAGAAACATGAAATCTAAAGCTATAGCTGTTTTTTCAACAAAGTAATAAGGAGGCAAAATAAGACCAAGGGAACAAAATGCTTTTGCTCTGGTGGTATTGAATTAAGGGTCTCATAGAGAAGCATCTCTCACTGAGCGATATTCCCAGCTTTGCTTCCTTTTTTCTTGAGCTCTCATACCTTTCTCTACTGCCAAACAGGTCCTTTCAGTTCCCACTGACTATTGGACTAACAGCTAGAGGTGCGCAGGTGAACAATAAAATGAACCCTGTGTTTTTCAGTCTATTTTCAAGCAGATACATTTCTATACAGGTAATAGCATCTAAACCATGAATTTCAATTTTACTGTTCCATTCCTAGAGCACATTTTTATGTGTAACCTTTAAGCATGAGAAGCTTCTATTTATCATTTTGATAAAAAAATTTAAAAAGCAATTTTCCCTTGGCGGAGACTTCTTCTGAAGACCACTCCTTTAAAATTTCAGAATGGTTTATTTTTATAGAATTGGTCACCAGATTTTAACTAAAGAATTTCCAGGAGTCAATATGTTAAGTCACTGGAATCATATGCTAGATACACATGGCTCTGTCTTAGCTCATAAAGCCATGCTGAAAGCCCCCGGTTCCCTAGCACAGCACAATATCCAAGAGCAGTGTTTCTAGTCTCTAATGCACTAGAACAGATGGAAAATGTGTATAAGAAAACATCCCCCAGATAAGGGGGCACAGTACCCATGTTTCTGGAATGACAGTTTGCTAACACATACGGAAAAGGAATAAGTCCTGGCAGATGCATGAGTCAGAAAATCGTTTCCTGGAATCATTGCCTATCCAGTGTGTCTAGGCACCTCTACAACCCCCACAATACATCCAGCTGACCAGTACTATTCCTACACCTGTAAACAGCAGGCAAAAAAAAGAGAAATGAAGCCTAGCCCATACACAGGAAAAGTTCATCAAATCCTGCATAGTAAGCAGTTACCTTAATTCCATTGAAATTGTCAACAGCCAGAACTGTACTCCTCTGATCTTCATAGCACAGGAAACAGAAGCCTTTAGACTTGCCAGTCTTCTTGTCTCTCACAAGATTAATGTTGACAATCTCCCCATATCTGTTTAGTTTATAAAATGTATTATTCATTTAAAATGCAAAAGTTTTCACACTGAATGATGAATTCAAATAATCAGTATAGGAGAAATAGAATTAGATGACATGGTAGGTTGAAAACAAAAAGTTAAGTAAGAATATAACAAGGCAGTCCCAGCACTCGAGGCAAAGGCAGGCAGATCTCTGTGAGTTCAAGGCCAGCCTGGTCTACAAGAGCTAGTTCCAGGACACCCAGAGCTGTTACACAAAGAATCCCTGTCTCGAATCCCCTCTAAAAAATTTATATATATCAAGGACAAAATAAATGCATTAAATGAGATAGACAAGGTTGTCTATCTGAAAAATGCCAGCATAACTCATAAATCAAAACTTTTGGGCAGGTGTAGGCAAAGGTAGGCAGATCTCCATGAGTTTGAGGATGGCCTAATTTATATTCTGATTTTCAGGTCAGCCAGGGCTACACAAAAGAAACAGAAACTTATTGGAGATTTTTAAGTTTAAAACAAAGTTGAAAGGATTAAGACCAGATGAATTAATATCAAATAACATAAAAGAAACATAAATAAAAACAATTGTCAATAATCCACTTATGTCAGACTAGTAGACATATAGGTATTTTTGAAGTATATAACCAGATAAATTATTTTCAAGAATTCATAAAACAAATTAAATTCACTATTGGTAAGATCTCAAAATAAATATCAATAAGCACTAAAGTTTCTGGGAAAAAAGACAGCTCAGAAGTTAAAAGCACCCACTGCTCTTGCAGAAATCCCAAATTTAGTTTCCAGCATTTAAGCCAGGTGTCTCACAATCTTTGTATCTCCAGCGGAATCTGATGTCTCTGGATTGATTCTACAAGCATGAGTATGCACATGCAAATGCATACTCGCGCGCGCGCGCGCACACACACACACACGTGCGCACACACAGGAAGACAGACATAACTAAAGATATTTTTTAAAGATCAATTAAAACTAACTCTAAAAATTTACAGTATATACTCACCAATCATTGTGATAAAACTAGAAATAAAACAAAAGCCTGCTAAGGGAACTAGAAAGATGACTCAATGATTAAGACCATTGTTTGCTCTTCTAAAGGACCCAAGTACAATATCTAGCACCCACTTGGAGGCTCCCAACCATCAGTAATTCCAGTTCCAAAGAATCTTGTGTCTTCGCTGAGCATTAGTGGCAAATGCCTTTAAGCCCAACACTCGGGAGGCAGAGGCAGGTGGATCTCTGTGAATTCGAGGCTAGCCTGGTCTACAGACCTCCAGGACAGGCTCCAAAGTAATACAGAGAAACCCTGTCTCAAAAAACCAAATAATAATAATTTGGTGTCCTCTTCTGTGCCTGGGCACTAACATGGTGCTGACAAACATAGAAGCAAAATACCCATACACATAAAAATTTTAAAAATATTAAAAAAAGAAAACCTCAAACTAACCAGAACTTGAAACGTATTCTTTTGGCTAATAGATGGATGAAAAAAATGAAACAAAATTTAAAATGTCAACGATACATCACTTAGAAACTAACAACAAACTTTAAAATACCATGAAAATTTATAGGATATAGCTAAGCCCACTACTCAGGAAATTCTGCAACCTTGAAGAATTTGATTCTTTTAAAAGCATGACTATGAAATAAAAAAAAGCTAATAAAGACAGACTTTAATAAAGATCAAAGCAGAAATTAATTAAATACAAAAATAGACTCTTATAAAACCAATTCCAAACAAAGCTTTATAAGAGTCAGAAAATAAAACTGGAATTGATATATAAGCTACATAAGTACATATAAGTTATATGATTACATATATACACACCGACCCAAAATCTGGTATCGAAATGCAAAATAGTGAATGTGATTCAAATAAGGTTGAGAATAATTTGTCAAAATAACGGAGGCATAGAAAATGCAATTAGATAAAACTAATATAAAAAATGAAAAAGTAAAAGTATCTGCAGATTATATACAAGAGTGTATACAGAAAATTAAACGCATCAATGATAGATAATGACAAAAATAAATAGTATAACAATTCAGTAAAGTAGCAGGTCAGAAAGGTCCAGGACAGCCAGAGCTACACAGACAAACCCTATATCAAAAAGGAAAAAAAAGGATTTGGATAAATAGGCATTTCAGTGAGAGTGGATATTAGTAAAACCATTTCAGGGAACAATTCAGCAATGCTGACAAAACTTACCAGGCTTAATCTGTGTCTGTTTGGCCCAAGTTTTCAGTGCTTTGACCTAACCCTACAATGCCACACAGATAAGAACCAGAGGGCCCTGTGATCATGGATGACCCCTAGTTTCTAGGAACCCAAATAGAGAGAGAGAGGTCAGCACTGCACTTTCCTGGGAATTCCAGATTGTTCCAATGCAAGTCCATGCTAAACACAGTTCAGGAGAAACTTGACAGAAATGAACTAGGATCCCTCAGAAAGCCTCTCAAATAATCCAAGCTCTGGGATCTCCCACGTGCTAATGTTCTGGAACCTTATATAGCCTGGAACTGACAAAGCTCTAGCCTTCCCCACACAAGGATGTCATTCAGACCAGAATTAAACTGGCTTTGGTGGCTTTCTGAGACAGGGTCTCACTCTGTAGTGCAGGCTGACCTGGAATGTGTTATGTAGCCTAGGCTGGCCTCAAACTCATGGCGATTCTCCTACCTCATAGTCTCTTCTACTGGCATTAGAGGTATATAACCCATACCCAGCTTAAAATGCCCTTTTGGCATTACAAAAATAAGCTACAGAAGCAAGCTGTTCTATGCACTCAGAAGGTAGGAAATGAAAGAGGACTTACTGTGAGAACACACAGATGATGTCTCCTTCTGTCAGTTCATAAGGAAGCCCTCCTGGAAGAAAACAAAGCACAGCCCAGGTCAGCAAACATTAATCAAGTGTTTACTGCATGCTACGCACTAGACCAGACACTGGAGGAACAGGGTCAGTAAGCCCTGAGCTCACAAAAACCAGTCGAATGCAATGAGTGGGAAAAGGGACAACAGTCCAGCAGAAAAGTAATTAACTCTTGGATCTCTGTGAGTTTGCGGTCAGCCTGGTCTGCAGAGTGTGTTCCAGGACAGCCAGAGCTACATAATGAGACTGTCTCAATAAAAGGAATAAAAGTGATTAATTCTAAGCGGAAAGGGGTTACCACTTACGAAATTAATCTTATTCAGTCCTCACATCCAAAATCCTATAAAGCAGAAAATTTCCTGCACAAGACTCAGATTTCACAAACACTGCGTTCAAATATACTATTGTTATGTTCACTATGCGTAAACTAAGAATTTTAAAGAAAACTGTTAAGCAAGTCACAGGAAATAATTTCCCCTCTATGTGTTTTCCCTCATGTGTAAAAATGGGATATCACTATATTTGCCTCACAAGAATGTTAATAGACACAAAATAAAATTGTGTGTATAAAATGCTTACCACAATATCTAATGAAATAGCCTCTTTCAAAAGTCAAACTGCAAAATTGTTGGTTGTGACAGAAAGAAAGAAAGAAAGAAAGAAAGAAAGAAAGAAAGGAAGGAAGGAAGGAAGGAAGGAAGGAAGGAAGGAAGGAAGGAAGGAAGGAAGGAAAGAAAGAAAAAAAGAAAGAAAGAAAGAAGCCAAAACCAGGCTGTGGGCAGACAAGCTGCTACAAGCGTGTGGGTGACAAGAGTGGTCAGCGGGGACTCTATCTAACCGGAGGGGGGGACGCAGCGACTCTGAAAGGGACTGCTAGAGAAAACTGTGGACCTCACCAAGAAAGATCCAGGCGCTGTCCTTGTATTCCGAGTGCCAAGACACCTTTTCCGCAACCCCAAGTTGGACCTCTCGCTCATTCAGTTCGTTGATCAGCTTCACCTTAGTTAAAGGGCTGCGCGGGAGGAGGAAAGGGTTTAGTTAAAAGTTCATTTCCTCAGAGCCTGCGTTCTTCTCCCACCCCGGCGAGAACCGGTCACCGTTTGCGGGCAACCATCCGCAACCCACTCCCCTTCCTCAGAGAAACGAAACCCTTACTTCATATTCGCGCCTTCGCGCTCCTCTCTCAAGCCATCAGCTTCCGGGTGACGCTACGAAGGGCGTGCACAACCCGGTCACCCAGCTCAGATTGGAGCCGGCAGAACTGGAGGCGGAACTTCCACAGGAACTTCCGTTCCCGCACGCTAAGACTTGGAGCCTGCACAGTAGCGTGGAGGCGCTTTCTCACGCTTAGTACCCTATGCGCCCATGGAGAAATAGTTCCCTACTTAGTCACTGCTTCCCGTTGTGATGTAGAGCAGGGGCGGGACTTGGAGCCTGCGCAGTAGCGTGGAGGCGCTTTCTCACGCTTAGTACCCTATGCGCCCATGGAGAAATAGATCCCTATTTAGTCATTGCTTCCCGTTGTGATGTAGAGCTGGGGCGGGATCCTGGGCTTTAAAGGGGCTTTTCAGCTTCTGGATAATTCATTGTTTGATTTAGTTTGAAACGTTTTCTGAATGAAGTAGTGTGTCTGATAGGGTGACTAAAGTCCCTGTTCTGTCTCTTAATCTAAAGCCCTGTTCTTTCACTCGGTGGCAGTTAAAAAGAGTCCCTCAAAGCCGCCCTGTTTGGGATTTAACAGTAGAAAAGTAAAGAGGATAGCTATGAGAATTGTTTCCCCGCTCGAATATTAATCACGGACCAGTGTGCCTCTACAGACCGAATTAAATACCCACAGATTTACGTAAGAAATGTGGTCTTTTTCCAGCAGAAATTAATATTGGCAATTTAATGTATCAGTTGAGGAGTGAACAAGTGCTAAATAATGAGGCAGACAATTTATGCATGCTATCTCTGTTTGGCTCAAAACCGGAAAAGTCTCATTCGTTACCTGTGACTCCTCCCAGTACTCCTCATCCCGCCCCTACCCTGAGGCTGGGCTTCCTCCCTGAGCCCGTTCCCTGTATAACTTAGCCATTTTCATTTTTTCATTCAGTCTCTACCCTCTTAACAACCCCAAGAAGTACATATAGTTACCATCCCCATTTTACAGAGGAAAAAACTGAGCTCCAAAAAACTTAGTTAGCTCGAAGATCTGGAGCTCAGTTGTTAAAACCATTTGATGATAATGTTCTGAAGGACTTGTATTCAGACCCCAGCTCCCGCAACAGGTGGCTCACAACCCCAGCTTCAAAAGACCCATCCTCCTCTTCTGGCCTCTGTGGGTACCTGCACTCACATGGCATACACAGACATACAGACACATAAATAAAACTAATAAATCTTCTCAATTTTGATTAGGTTGAAGTGTCCTCTGCTTGTACCAATCAGATCAGGAAAATTTATTCAGTCCTTATTGAGCATCTAGGTTTGTCCTGTACAGTTGCTCAATAGAAAGGAATTTGAAGGATGGGTCTTCTGCACTCAAAGAGCTAATGGTATAAGACCCAATCAATCTACATATACTTGAAAAGTTTGTCATAAATATTCAGACTTCATTGTGTCAGCAGAGAATAGGCGTTCCATTTTGTGAATTCTTGGTCTCTTTAAAAACAGAATTTTAAGCCGGGCGGTGGTAGCATATGCCTTTAATCCCAGCACTCGAGAAGCAGAGGCAGATGGATCTCTGTGAGTTCGAGACCAGCCTGGTGTACAGGAGCTAGTTCCAAGACAGCCTCCAAAACCACAGAGAAACACCCCCTCCCCCATAGAATTTTTAAATGGACTCAGAAGGAAACTTAAGGGACGTTTTATTAAAGTTCGAATGACAACAGGGCAAGGAAGCTACAAATCTTGGCAATTTGTGTTAAGAAGGGAATGGATAAAAGGAAACAAGAAAGCCTTGTCTTTTGATTTAGGGTCTACAGGCAAATCAGCTTTCCTGAGAGGTACTCTCATGATCAACAGGCCCTACTGGATTAACTGACTAATGTTTTTTTATTTTAAACTTTACTATTTCAAAAAAGATTGCAAGTTAAACACTAAAATTAACCAGACCCAAAGACCATACAACTCAATGAACTTTTAGAATAACATTCAGAACAGAAACTGTGGAACTTCATATTGGATTTTAGGCTTTCACTATCAAATATATTTTATTCACTTGTCCACCAACAAAACCAAAAAATGATATCATTAGAACTAGAAGAAGAATTTGATTTATATTCCCTTTCGCTCGTGTCGATTACTTGCATTCAGTCCATCGCCATCACATAATATTTAGCCGTTCTTGTTTTCTTTTTTCATGTTATACTGCACTCACATGTACATTTGTTCACATATATACATATATTGTTAGCTAGATTCTGCATATAAGGGGGAAGCATGCAGAGTTTTTTTCTGAGACTGTGTGACCTCACTTAGTACATTCTAATTGCATCCATTTTTTTCTATAAATTTTGTTATTTTATTTGTCTTTATAGCTGAATAGTATTCTATCTTTTATTCATGCCAAATTTTCATTCCCTATTCTTAAGTTTGATGGACAGTCAGGCTGATTCTAATTATTTATATACTGAACAAAGAAGAAATAAACATGGGGATGCAAATATCTCTGTGATATGGAGTTCTCTGGATATAAGCCCAGGAGTGAAATATGGGAGTTCTGGTTTCAGTTTTTTTTGAAAAACTCTCCAAATTGATTTCCACAGTAGCTGTATTGATTTGCACCCACACCCACCAGTGAATGAAGGTTCTTTTCTCTTCACATCCTCTCCAACGTTTGTTGTCAGATTCATTGATTAGAGCAATTCTGACAATTCTGACTGGTGACATCTCATGCTAGTATCTCAAAGTAGTAATTTTTATTTCTTATTTAAATTTTGTTTCATTATTTGCAATTTTCCTGATGACTATGGATAGTGAACTTATTTGGTGACTGACAAATTTATTTCCTTGGTGTTTAATTTCAATTTTTTGTAAATTCTGGATAGTAGCTCTTTGAAGTACAGCTGGTAAAGTTTTTCTCCCATTCTGTGGGCTGTCTGTTAACTCTGCTGATCATTTCCTTTGCCATAAAGAAACCTTTTATTTTCAGTAGTCCCATCTGTTGAAACATAGAGTTAGTTCCTGTGCTATTGGCCTTCTATTCAAAAAGTTCTTGCCTATTCCAGTATTTTGACCAGTACTCCCATGTTTTCTTCTAGAGGTGTCAATGTTTCAGGTTTTTAATTAAGATTCTTGATCCATTTTGAATTGATTTTTGTATAAGGTGAAAGACAAGAATCTAATTTCTGTCTTCTGCGGGTAGAAATCCAGTTTTGCCAGCACATTTGTTGAATAGAATATCTCTTCCCCAATGTATGTTTTTGCTTCCTGTGTCAAAAATTAAGTGGGCATAGCTTGGTCACTTTATTTCTGGATCTTCTTATTTTTTTAATGCCAGTACCAGTATATCTTTATGACTACAGCTCTGTAAGAAACTTTGAGGTCAGGTATTACAATACCTCCAGCATTGTTCTTACTACTCATGATTTCTTTGGCTTTCTATAGTCTTTTGTGGTTCCATATGAATTCTTGTATTTTTTCTAAACCTGTGAAATATATCAGAATTTTGAAAGGTGTTGCATGAAATCTACAAATTAATTTTTGTAATATAGTCATTTTCACAATATTTACTCTACCAGCCCAGAAGCATGGAGCTCTTCCCTTTTTTAAGACATGGTCTCAATGTATACTGGAATTCACTATGTAGACCAGGCTGGCATCAAATTCACAGAGATCTTCCTGCCTCTACCTCCCAAGTGCTGTGATTAAAGGTGTCATGGAACTATTACGGTAAGGGACAATATGTACTATTCTCATTTGAGGCACATAAGAATATCATTTCTCCATTTAAGGCCAGAGGTAGAATCAGAATCCATTCCTTTAACAAGAGGAAGTAGCTTTCTCCTTAATGGCCTTTAACAAAGGTGTGATACCTCCATCTTCATATACGATATTTTAAACCTTAAAGAGCATTCTTTGGGTATATGCCCAAGATAGATATAGCTAGGGCTTGACGTTGATTGAAGAAAGGAAAAGCTGATTGTGACGGAGGGACCCATCTTCAATGGCCTCCAAGTTTACTAATGTCTGCCTAGCTATCTAACAAATAGAAGAGATGATATAATGCATAATGTGTGACATAAGCCATACAAAAGATATAACCCATCTTGTATATGTCTATATCAATATGTGATCATGAAACATACTATTCTAAAAGTGAAGGTTCAGAGATGGATAGTTAGTAGCCTGAGCCGGCCTTATTCAGAGCACCAGATATAAAGCCAGTCACAAAAGTATTTTGATGATGGTGACAAGTGTACAATCAAGTGGCTCATCCTACAACCAGGTTCCTGCAAGAAGTGAAGGCTGCCCAGCAAGGACAGTTTCTCCTCACATATTCTGACTATGTATTAGGGACTGCATTTGACTTCCTCACTCCAATGTAACTATACTCTCCTCCCTTCCTATCCTGCTATTCATTAACTTTGTCAAATAATCTTGCCAGTAAAAACTAAACAGTGACAGATTGCATATGGGTTTTTATCTGTTCCTAGAAATCGCCATTTGCTTTGTTGGTAGGGTTAAAGTAGTCACTTGTAAAGCGATAAGCTTGCAGGCAGTATTATCTTGCTTGTGTCTTCTGGTAACTGTGAAATAAGAGGTTACATCTGCGGCTCAGTCACCTGCATTCAGAAGGAAGCTGGAGCACAAGAGAAAGTGGGACCAACCAAACCACAGGATAACTTATGTTGCGAATATGAGTCATATTCCTATCCAAATTTTGGGTTCAACCGAAATGCTCAGTGTCTTGGTTTGGTTTGGTTTTCTTTTTCTTTTCTTTCTTTTTTTTCTTGTTGTCTGAGGCAGAGTCTCATATAGCCCACAGTTTGGCCTTGAGCTCCCAGTCTTCCTACCTCTCCTTGCTACCACATCCAATCAGCAGAGGTATTCTGCAACTGAGAGAGATGAAAGCCATCCCAATGTGCATGTGCTAAGGACTTCCTGAGACTTTCAATTTCACTGCTCTTAATGGCAAGCCAGACCCAGACCTGAAAATTTGATCGCCACAGAAGAACCAGAATAAAAGAAGCAAGGAGCTGTATTTTTCGTGGTTGTGCTTAAAGTTAGAAGGAACTGAAAAGCAATGATGCCTAGAAAATATATGTAAGTCTCAGTTGAAAGGGTAAAGGTCCAAAGTTCCCTCTGAAC